CACACGCTGCGCACGCTCCTCTTCCTTTGTCCCATTGCTGCTGTTTTGTTTGGACAGCTTCCGCGGCGGGGGGCACTAAGCAGGGCCCGCTGTCAGCTCTGCAGGATCCSTCTGACTACGTATCTGCCACAGTCACGTTTCCCCTGTTAGAAATTGGTATCTCATCAGCTGCAGAGTCTTAAAAACACGACAGCGACCTGCCTGCGAAGTGACTCTACAGAGGGCTCTTCGCTTTAATTCCTCACACAGAGAAACTCTATTTTCGGCTAAAAGCCTAAGGAGTAAAAGCATAGTCATGAAGTGTCCCAGGAGGGTCTCCCCATAACCACCACCCGAACACCGAGCAATCATTCCACCCCAAAGGCCCCTTTGGGACTGCTTTCAAACAGAAGCAGTGTCACAAACCCCAATGCCAGCAACCGTGCTCAGAGCATTTCATTTCCTGCAAACAGATGCCGGCCAGTCCCCAGGTGAGACTGCTTCAGCGACCCAAAAGCGTTCAGCTACCCCGATGTGGAGCTGGATGTGGAGGGTGTAAATTTAGGGGCCCAGTGCTTGTTCAAGCCCATCTGCCCCGTCACTGCTTTTCGCAGAGGGCAGCACTTGCACAGGCACCTTTGCCTTCCCCTCCCCTGCCTGCCCGGTCGCTGTTGACTCRGGCAAGGCAGGTGACACCTTGCTGAGTGTGCCTGCCTGGGAGGAATCCAGCCTACCACACACGTTCGAGACCTACAGCTGGTGACACTCKTGCATCCCACTGCTGCCTCTCCTCTACACTCTGCTCTCTGACCGCTCTCGGATTCTCCCCTCCGCCTGAGTCAGCCTGATCTTTGCACCTGTGGCTTTTGTGTGCCGTGCCAACCCTTCACCAGCCAAATCAAATGAGATGAGCTGTGGGGGAAACATCGCTGCCTTTTGTGTAATACACCCCAGTCCGGGAATGTATTAGAGCCTGTTGCTTAATAGTAATACGACAGGGGTGGAAGGCTAATTTACTCCTATTCTAACCTGCACCAAACACAAGGATAGCCAAACCCTATTTCTGTGGAAGTAAAGCAGAGTCTGGGTGGCCAGCGACATGCCAGAGATGTTCCTTCTTCCTTTAGAGACAAAACACCCAAACTGAGAATTCGATTATAAACGAATTGAAAATTGTGCTCTCATACCAACAACACTTCAACTCAAGTTGGATCATCAAAACATCTTAAAAAGTTTTGCTCAAGGCCTGATGCCAAAATATGTTGGTTTATTTTGTTCCTCTTGGGCAGATGTTGGCCACCACCATGTGGTGAGCTAGCCCGCTGTCTCCAATGCCTTCTGCACTATTCAATCCAGCTTTTACACTAAAACAGGTTAATGAAGGACACRAAGTGTTGTTGGAGGCAGGCCTGTCATCCTAATTCTTCCCTCTCTAGTCCAGCATGAGACTGGGACGAACTGATCTAAGGTGGGAGAGAAAGGCAATATTGCCATGGATACAGGAATTGACATTTGGGCTGATGTCCGTGGATGTTTGCAAGAGCACTGATGGAGGACATTATTTCAGGGTGGAGTGTGGAAGGATGTGTGTGCATGTGCATCTGGTGAAGATTTTCACGTGTTTCCATGTGCCTGAACTCTTTCCCCACTGTTCATTCCTTCTTGCTGTCTGTCTAGATGTGGCAAGTTCTTGGCTCTTTCTTCCTGGGAAATAAACTGCACCCAGCCAGGCTGCTGGGAATACCAKTGTGCACCCACAGCAGGCATTGTCACAGCTGTGCTCCTGGCTATGGTCACATCTGGAGCTGGCGCTGTGCTGAGGATGGAGGCTCACAGACTGCTGGCAGTGCAGAAATTGAACCCAAAGGCAASAGTGTCCAAAATGAACCAAGTCAATGCCACCTAGCCTGGATACACCACTGGAGAAGAGTGATCTCCCTCACTGCAGTTAGCTCAAGCAGAGATCTAATTAACTTTATTTATGAAGGTGTTAAGATGGGAGTCACCAAAAATGCTTGCAAGGCAGAAGCCACAAGGCAAAAGAAGCAGCACAATGATGTGGGGTGAAGGGGCAGGGTGTGTTGAAAGGACTGGAAAAGGGGGGGTGGGTATAGGAGAAGACTACACAGCTTCATGTCTTGACTTTGTAAACCCAGAGAAGTGTGAAAGCCAATATTCCTGTCAAACAGCATCCGTATGGTGCAAGCTGAAATATATCCCTCTGGAAAACAAACAACCAAAAGAAAAGAGAGAGACAGAGCAAGAGATGTTCATT